TGTCAATTCCACAGAGCAAGTGGAAACCAAGTACCAGAAATAGAATCAGGTATCTGCCCAAGAGTGCAGGCAAGTGGAAGCAATCAGATTTAGGAGCTGTGCTGTGGAATGTTCTCCTGATTAATTTAAAAGGCAGTGGTAGAGTAGCTCTTTGCAATTTTTGGCTGAAAGTGACAGAAAACCAGCTTGAACTAACCAAAGATGGGAAGAGAAGACTTTATTGCTTTATTTAACCACATTGAAAAAGGAACAGTAATTATATAACTTATCATCCGCCTGGAATACTTCTGAGGCTGAAAGAGGGAGCTGGTGATGATTAAGCTGGAACAGCAGGTGGAAACTGGCACTACCTTAGGCAAACTAAGATGTCTGTTCATCCTAGTGTTGGGAGATCAGGATAAAAAAACCTAAAAGGCTCCCATAGATCTCTCTCTTGGTGTTGCTATAACTTTTCTCTACATTCTACTTTTCTTGTGTGGGCTTTATTCACACAAGCTTATGTAGCAAGGGACACCGGTGCCATAAGGTTCAGGTTCAAATTCTTACAGCTTAGTAATTAGACAGGAAAGGACGCTCTTCCATTTGCTACAGTATGAAATGTCCTGCCCCAGAATTCCAAGTAGTTTGGCCAATGTCTCATGACCATCCCTGAAACAATCTTTGTGAACAAAGCAATGGAGTCCTACTATTGGTTCACCTCGGTTCATATGCCTTTCCTCTGTCAAAGACATAGGTGCACTATGAACCAATAGTCCTAATGGTTGAAAGCAGGCATTTCCCCAAAGAGAAGAGCTATTCTGGGAGACAATACCATACATATTCACTACGAAAGCCTTTTACGGAGAGCCTCCTGCCAAGTCCACTGACAATATAGGAACATAAGAGGCAGCTATGATATAAAACACATGTTATATAAAACAGCTGTCAGATGCTGGAGCTACTTGGCAGGTGGGTTAAATCATGAACTCTGCAACCCTGGAAAACCCTTTAACAAAGTGCATTGCTCTAACCCTTTATAATATAATATATAATAGTCCATTAGAGACAGGTGAGGCCCCAAGGTTCAGCATTCCTATGAGCCTCCAGCACCTCTCAAATGAAGTGAACTTACCCAAAAAGCCATTGGCAGAGTCTTGAGGACACTAGGCACCATGAGTTTAAGTGAGGATCTAGAGAACAGAAAAAAAGTGACGACTCCATAGAAGAGTTTCAAAAGAGGATGGTAGAGGCGGCCTTCCCATCCATCCCTGCTTGGCCAAGTTCCCAGTTTTGTGGCTTCTGGCTCCTGGTTCAGCTTCATGGTTGGAAAGCACAATCCTTTATGATGCAACTTGGAACCGAGAGACATTACCTTCTGCCACCCAGGGATGGTCCTCTCCACCTTGCAGAGGATCTCTCGGTGGTTAAAACACCCCAGCAGTCAGCTTGTTCCCAGCCCAGTCCTCCCCCCGGGTGAAAAAGGAGTGGATAAATGCACAGAGGGCTGACTTGGTGGCTGTGTGCTCCCACCCAAAAAAGCCACTCAGCCCAGCAGCGCCGTGCAGAGTGGGGCTCTGGGGAATGCGATTTCGCAATGGGCCCCTTACCACTACAGGGAACACAGTGTTTACTGGAGAGGGCTCTCCAACCTCAAAGTCGCCTGTGCTTTCCAGAAAACGGCAGGCTTCACGTTAATAAATAACCGACTAGCTCAGCCCAAGCCCAGTTGGAGCAGATAGGACTATCCTAGTCACAGCACTGCACAGCAGGAATGTCACCTCTAAGCCCCACCCTTCAGAAACTGCCAGCAAGGCTGAAAGTGCCGGAAGCTGTCACCATTCTTCAGAGCTCCACATTATACATAGGAGAGCCCACAACTGGCTCTAAATAAAATGAATTCTCCCTTGCTGGACTGTAGGAATCTGGGCCAGTCTCAGGAAATTCTTCCTGAGACTAAGCAGTCTGTGAATAAACAAACATTAATATCGAGTTCAGGATGAGTAGCTAATGAAATATGTCACAGCTCACCTTGGCCCAGAGTTCAGGGTAATGAAACAAATGACTGGTGGTTGTTGATGATATACTGTCATTTCAGTGTTAGTCCGTGGGTCAAGGTACTTATGGCCTATCTCATTTTGTTCATTTGTTCTTTCAAATGTTTCTTCTCTCTTCTTTCATTGTTCAAGTTAACTTTTGATTCAAGTACGTAGTGGTTGCTGTGGTCCCCTTCCACAAGGAGGCACTCATTTGCATGGATGCTAGGAGTGCTGGTGACCAATAGCTCTCAGCTGAGTGCTCCCCAGTACAAGCCCTCTGCTTGAGGGCTGCCTGGCATTATTCACAATATGCAAGGTGCGCAAATACCCCAAGTGCAGTCACCAAATGAATGGATCAAAAAAATGTGGCATAGATGTACAATGGGGAAATCATTCAGCCTTAAAAAAAAGGGCAACCCTGCCATTTGCCACAAGCTGGATGAACCTGGCGGGCGTTATGCTCAGTGAAATAAGCCAGACAGAGACAAATACTGCATGGTATCACTCACATGTGGAAAAGAAAACTAAAGTTGAACTCATAGAAACAGAGACTAGAACACTGGTTACCAGGGGCTGGGGATGGGGGAGATAGAGCTAAGTTGGTGAAAGGGTACAAACTTTTAGTTATAAGATGAATATGATCTGAGAATCTAAAATATAGCCTGGTGACTATAGTTGATAACACCGTATGGTAGCATTGAAATTGATCATTGGCACTGTCTGTGATGGAGTTTTTAGCCAGTAGACAAAGACCTGTATGGGAACACCCTCCCTACTCACCTGATCTGGCCCCAATTGACTTCTTTCTTTACCCAAAGATAAAGGAAATATTGAAAGGAAGACATTTTAATGACATTCAGGACCCCAAGGGTAATACAATGACAGCTCTGATGGCCATTCCAGGAAAAGAGTCCCAAAATTGCTTTGAAGGGTGGCCTAGGCGCTGGCATCAGTGCATAGCTTCCCAAGGGGAGTACTTCGAAGGTGACCATATTGATATTCAGCAATGAGATATAAGTTTGCGAACTTAATTGTCCGGCCTCATATATAGAGAGAACGATATGATTCCTAGAGCTAGAATTTAAAACTAAATTTAATCAAAATCATAAGGACCCTCGGTTTCACTAGTATCACTTCTATCAGCATAGATTTGTTTTTGTCTGTTTTAGTGTTTTATCTAAATGGTGCCCTGTAGTATATACTCTTTGTGTGACTGATTTTAGTGCTCAACATTTTGTAAGATTCATTTATGTTGTAACATGAATTTGTACATAATCATTTCCACTGTTATCTAATGTCCCATTGTGAAAATATAATGCAGTTTTATTTTTCTGCACTTTGGTTGATGGGCATCTGGGTAGTTCCACTTTGAGGAAATTATGAATGGCCCTGCCATGAACATCTAGAATATACCTTTTGATGGGCATAAGCCCTCATTACTATAGGGAACTGCCTATATTTAGTTTTAGCAGCTACTGTCCAGTAGTATTCCAAAGGGGGTGGTACCAAATTATATTGCCAGTTGCCGTACATGCGCTTTGAGACCAACCCTTGATGGCTTTTATCCTCTCAGCCACTGTGACAAGTGTGTCCTGGTAGTAAATTGTGATTTCTAATTTCCATTTCCCTGGAGGCCAAGGAAGCTGGGCCCATTTTCATATGATTATTGGCCATTTGGATATTGTCCTTTGAGAATGTCTGTTCAAGTCTTTGCCTATTTTCTGTTGGGTTATCAGATAATTCTTTCTTTACTGTCGGGTGTTGGGAGACGCTACAGATCATCTTTGGAAGACAGGTCAAGAGGAATGGTATTTTGTCCAAGGACAAAGGTAAGAGATACATGAAAGAATCATGCAGGGAAGTAGGTAGGAGATAATAAACACGGGCTTCAAAGCTGCTGGAAAATGGAAGCAGAAATGAGGTTCAGCCACAGTAGCAAAGCTATAGACTCATGTGGGACAAGTAAATTAAGGTGGGGTCCAGGAAGCCATGCACACAGATGGGGTCCAGCTGTTGGGTGCAGAAAAGCCAATGTGGTGGCTTTGAGTGGGTGCCAGCAAAAATCACAAGAAACCACTCAACTGATGAGACTCTGCATAGAAATGTTATTTATGACTGCCAGGAAAGTTAGAAAAGTCTGTGCTTTCTGGGTAGCATCCAAAAAGAGGTTAGAATGAAAGAGAATGGTTATTGTTAGCCATGTGTATGCAGGCGAGATCATTAAGTGGATAGTGTAGTTTAGAGCAGAGCAGAGGGTGCACACTGTTTTCAGGCGCTCCCCATCACCACATGTGAGCAATAACAAGGGCAGAGTGACCTAGAACACAAAAATGTCAGCATCCAGGCAGCTGTGTTCCTGGGAAGCAGCCCACCAGCTGGAGCAGCAGGAGGGGCCCAAGTCAGATGTACCGTGACTTTGCGACCTCTTTCTGCCTGTTCAGAACCAGCCCTCCCCACACACCAGTCCCAGCCCCAGCCCCAGACTTGTCCTTACCTGCCCCATGGAATTTTGAAGCTTCTCTGGATCCTGCTTTCCTCTTAGTTTGACCAGAAAGGGGTTCTTCATGTTGGCGTTTAGGTCCCCGTGGCTGAGCCTAAAACTGAGACCCTGTTTTGCTCTTTTCAGACCCCCACCTGAAGATATGTGCTCTGGAGAAGAGCTCCTTACTGGTTTTTTACATTTTGTTTTGTTTTTCGTTTTGTTTTGTTTTAAAGAAATTTTATTGGGGAACAGTGTGTTTTTCCAGGACGCATCAGCTCCAAGTCAAGTAGTTGTTTCAATCTAGTTATGGAGGGCGCAACTCCGTGGCTCCTGTGGGTATCGAACCGGCAACCTTGGTGTTTTGAGTGCTGCGTTCTAACCACCTGAGCTAACCGGTCACCCCCCAGACCTCCTTTTCTGTTTTGCGGGAATAGGCTGTCTTGTATTTTAGAGATGGGGTGAAGATGGAGAAAGGAGACACTTTCCACAAACCTAGTCTAACCTATCAATCCTGCAGTAGCCTTGTGCTTATTAGCAGAGAGGGGCGGAAGAAAAAATTACTTGTGTGTATTCATGCAGTGGTATTTTTGCTGTGTATCTGCTAGGGCTTGATGATGGGCACCCTGGAGACACAGCAAGGAGCAAGACAGACCCAGCACCTTCCTGGAGCACTTACTGTGATAAGGTTATTCCTTTGCATTTTTATGAGGCTTTGTATTGGGTTGTCGGAAAAGTCATGACGCATTTTTGCAACGAAAAACAGAAAAAAATATGTCATGACTTTTCCGACAACCCAGCAGTTTTCAATGCTACTTTCTCAGGGTCATCCCCAAAGCTCGGGTTTATGGGAAAGCATTGGCATGAAGTTGAATGTGTGTTTCAGCTCTAGTTCTCACGCTGTGACATCAGATAAATGACTGGACTTCTTTCGGCCTCAGTATTCTCATCTCGAAAACAAGAGCATTGAACTACAATAGATGATTTCTCAAGGCCCTTGCAGTTCTAATCTTTTTACTGATACGTGATATCAGGTAAAACCGCCATCTGTTGTATCATTGGATATAAAACTTCTTAATTATAACATACAGGAAGAGATTCCTTTTGCATACACACACATATATAATTAAAACATAAGTTTTACAGAACATACTGAAACGGTCAGACCCAATAGGTTATATTGCAGTCATAAACAATCCCCAAATCTTAAAGTGGCAAAGGCTTCATTCTGGCTCATGTCAGGTGCATGAGGCGGTGGCTGGGGACCCTGCTTCGTATGTCCTCTTTTCCAGAGCTCAGGCTGATGGACCAGCCTCCACCTCAAAGATCACCAGGCTCAGTGACAGAGAAAAAGAGCGTGGCAAATCTTTTTTTTTTTAAGATATTTTTTTTATTGGGGAATTGGGGGGATGGGAACAGTGCTGGGGAATTGGGGGAAGGGGAACAGACAAGCTGCTGTCGTTTTGTTCTTCAGTCTAGTTGTGGAGGACATTGCTTTACTGGCCCAAGTTGGCACCATCATTGCGCTCTTCCCGGGTGAGGCAGATCAGTCGCCGGCTTCTGCACAGCCGCTCACTGCGGCTGCTGGCCACTCACGCTGGCTGCTTGCTACACACGGTAGCCCATGGCAACCCACTGTCACAGGGGCTGCAGCCTACTTTGTCGCTGGTGACTCACGGCAGCCCAGTTCCAGGTTGAGCTGTTGTTCAGCATCTTAGCTGTGGAGGGCAGCGTCACTGGCCCTCATATGTGGGATCCGAACCGAGGCCCTCTGGCATCCCAAGCCAGTTCTTAACCATCGCGCCACTCGGCTGGCCCAGCATGGCAAGTCTTATAGTGTCACTTAAAACTTCCTGCCACAGCAATGGTTTTGTCTCTCAGCTGTGACACTTCCATGGTGTCTCCCACCATGGTTTCACAAAACCTCATTTCCTTCACGCGAAAGTAGAATCAAGTAATATTTTTAAGTCTATCACCTTGTGCTAAGAGCTTTGGTTACCTGGTAGGGCCAAAGGGAAAAGGCCCTAGAAGGCACATTCTATATGGAAGAAAGCTTATCTGGCCAAAGCCACCAGGTTGCACAACTCACTTCTGAGTTGCACATATCACTTCTGTTCTGTTCACATTTCTTTGGCCAAGTCGCTTGGTTGTCCCTAACTTCAAGGGGACAGGGAAATGCAATTCCACCATATGCCTAGGGAAAGAACCAAAAATATCTGGTGAACAGCAGGAATGATTATCAAAAATATATACTGTGATGGTTAATTTTATGTATCAAATTGGCTGAGCCATGATGTCCAGATATTTAGTCAAATATTTGTGGATGTTTCTGCAAGAGTGTTTTCGATGAGATTTACATTTACAAAAATCAGTGGACTCTCACATTGCCCTCCATAATGTGTGTGGGCCTCATCCAATCAGTTGAAGGTCTAAATAGAACAAAAGGGGGCCGGCAGAGTGGCTCAGTTGGTTAAGAGCTCGCTCAAGAGTTTGAGCTCTGAGCAACAGCGGTTCGAGTTCTGGCCCGAGCTGAACAGCCGCTGAGCTGCCAACAGGTGGCAGGATGGTTCAGCTAAAAACAAACCAAAAATAAATAAATAAATAAATAAATAGAACAAAAGGCTGACCATCCCCTGAGCAAGAGACGACCTTTGAACTTGAAATGCAACATTGGCCCTTTCTGGGTCTTCAGCCTGTTCATCTACCCTGCAGATTTCAGAAATGCTAGCTTCCAAACTAATATGAGCCAATTCCTTAAAATAATTATCTCTTTAAACACTCTCTCTCACACACACACACACACACACACACACACACATTCTATTGGTTCTTTTACTCTGGGGGACCCTAACTGATATCCATAATGTGTAAGATACATTGTGATATGGTTTTTTTTTATTAAAGTTTATTGGGGTGACAATTATTAGTAAAGTTACATAGGTTTCAGGTGTACAATTCTGTAATACATCATCTATATATCACATTGTGTGTTCACCACCCAGGGTCAGTTCACCTCCTAGCACCATATATTTGGTGATGTTTTTTTTTTTATTTCGTTCAAATAACTTCTGTTCTATCCTTCCCTCTTTTGTTTCATTTTCTTTAAAATTCTAGTCACAGTCCAATAAATCCATTTCAAACTCACCTGTTGATCACAATCATAAACTTCAAAAAATGTTGGCTTATGTCTAAGGGGAAATGAAATAGTTAATGAGATATTAGAATGAAATAATAGAGATTAGAATGAGATAATAGAATGAAATAGAAATGAAATAGCCTTCATTTTAGCCAATCAGAGATTATTTTACTGGTTTTACACAGAAAAATGTTACACTGTCCATGTTTCTGCTCAAAAAGAAAACGAAACAAAATGAACCCTGCTTTACGTTAACACACTTAGCAAGGCTCTCTTCTCATCAAAGGAAGCAAACTCTGATCACGTTCATTGATACTGCAGGCGCAGAGTATTGATCTGGCAGCACAGGTGCAAACCCCAAGCGACTGAAGCGAGCAGGTGTCCGGGGTCAGGTGGCACTATTTAGCGAGCAAAAGAAAGCCATCCCTAGGGTAATGGAGGGTATGGGTTGAACTGTTAGGAAAACCCCAGTACCTCAGACTTTATGAAACAATAATCGAATTTATGGGGACAGACTGAACCCACACTCTAGAATGGGAGTTATTTACATTTTACTATGCAATTAACGTTCTGTAGTTGTGTAGTCAAACTCCATTTACTACGCAATGGTATTCTGCCAGAGAATACTAATTACTCCTCACCAAGGAACTGCTGAAAGTCATTAGCTTGTGTCTGTCCCCTTAAAAGTCCTATTGTTTCATAAGGTCCCGAGTTAAACCCTCTAGGAATTATTACAAAGAGATGTATGAAATGGACAGACTTTACCTGTTTAAAATAGATATATTCAGGTACAGGTAGGTAACACCCCCTTTACACAGCCAATGCATACATTGGCTGGTTGTGCTGTGCTAGTTGCAGATGCACAACTGTAGGGTACACGCTCACACAAACTTTGAGGAGCGGGGCCCCCTGGAGTTTTGCAACATGGTGGCCTTGGCCAGATAAGCAGTCTTCCACAGAGAATGTGCCTTATAGGGCTTTTTTCCTTCTCTCTACCAGGTAGCCAAAGCACTTAGCACAAGGCGATAGACTCAAAAATATTATTTGATTCAACTTTCATATGAAGGAAATGAGGCTTTGTGAAACTGTGGTATGGGACACCACCGAAGTGTCACAGCTGGTGAGAGACAAAGCCATTACAGTAACTTAGACGAGTGCTCGTCTGTCTGCTCCTGTCAACTCGTTAAGATATTTCACTCCTTCTGGTTGAAGGGCAAAAACAAACAAACAAAACAAAACAAACAAAAAAAATGGCAATCTTTGAGACAATGCAATAATTGGAATTCTTAAACTGGGACTATATAGTTGAACGTAGGTGTGCAAAGTTAGGAAAAAATCTAAATTTGCAGTGAACATAACAGTTCAGTTTCAGTGAACTTGACCTGCTTCGATCCACCTGAGTACGGTAATTAAAAACAGTGTTGCTGAAATCTCCGGCTCTATATGAAAAAACATGGGAGCAAGAAAACGAGTCCTAAAACCCCACAGCGTGGGGCTATCTTTGTGCTTACAGCTTACCAATGAGTCATAAGACACCTGAAGGCTTGGCTCTGCCTGTTGCCTTGTTGTTTACTTAGGATAAGTCCGAGCCAAGAGCCACATTGTTTAAAAACTGTGAAAAGAAGCAAGTCATTTATCTCACCTATTGAAAAGGTGAGAAACATGGCAAAGATGAATGGAACCACCTCCCTTCTGCCTAGTGCAACCCTGCAAACCAAGTGCAACCCTGCAAACGGAGTGCAGAGGTGAAGTCAACCATGAGGAGAGAGAGGGAACGGGAGTTCTGGGGGTTGGTGGATTGCCACCGCATGTGGATTCTGTGTCTGTGAGAGAGAATGCATGACCATCTCTGCCATGAGAAGACCGGTGACAGGAATTCAGGTGGGTGCTGGTCCGGGGAGACTTTCTGTTTTTCAAAGAGATGCTAACCTGAAATGCCTACATGACAGGCAGACAATGGAAATGTGTGGAAAAGCATGGACTGCGACAAGGGTGAACGGTGGGGCTCTGGTTAGTGTAGAATGCATGCCCCACCTAATGAATGCAATTCACACATTGTTCTAGAACAAAAGAGAACAAAGTCACTGCCCTAGCAACACACTTCGCAGGCCCAATGCTGCCCTCAACCCACAGGTTTATTGTCCCTGCTGGAAAGGGTCAGAGGCTGGCAAGAGCTGCACCTTCACGTCTTCTGCAGGTCCGAGCCTTGCCATTCAATGTTTCTTTCACTTGCCACTCAAGCCTTGCTCCTAAGTCCAGTCTTGCTCAGGCAATTTACCCAAGAACATAGTAATAGTTCTTCCTGGAGGCGAGGGAAGAGGAAATCCTGTTAATTATATATTATAGTAGGTTAGGGTTTAGAATCTACACCAGTAAATATAAATTAAGGATGACTTAGTATTGATCAGTGCCATCTGGGTATGAAAATGTGTTGATTTCTAGAGATACTTAAACTTTGTCTATTTTTGCAAGCTCCGGCCATTAAGCCAACGATTGCAGGTAACATTTATTGCCCTTCTTATGAGTCAGACACCATATACTTTACACGGATTATCTCCTGTCTCATTTCGTGATCGCAACAACCCTCTCAGGTGGGTTTTGTTATTATCCCCATTTTACAGGTGAGAATGTTGAGGTACAAAGAGGTTAAGTAACTTTCCCAAAGTCACAGAGTGAGTGGCAGGATGAGATTTGAACCCAGGGGTGTGGCCAAGTTACCATCTAATGAAGTAACTAACTAACTAACTAATGTTACATTTGCTTGTCCCCCATAGGATTCCACTGATTCTCTTGAGTTCTTGCCCAGGAATCACCCCACAGCTTTAGATCTGCAGGCACCCCCACTCCACTGCCTGATAGAAAGATAGGCTCGTGAAGGGTGTTAGCTGTGGCCCCTTGAACTGTTTCTGATTAGAGCATCATTATCTGTGTTGAAGTTCCTCAGAAAATGGTGAGGGTCTCAGAGTAAAGGTCTAGCTGCATATTTATGGCCAATTGGAGCTTCTGAGAGAGTCCTATTAGCATGAAAGCTTGAGGCATCCTAAGGGTATGAATTAGGATTGATGTCCGGTCCCCAGGGCGGACTCCCCAAACTGAGGAGACCCAATGGCTTCCTTTTGACTTCCCACACAGATTGCCAGATATGGAAGGCATGCCCTCTGAAGACTGAAAATGTTTTTGGGGTGCAGAAGCTTGGGAAACCTGCTGGAAAAAAATAATAAATAAATCAAAAAAAGATTTTTAAGTTCAATGCCATTCAAATTGTTTTCTGCTTCAGTATCTCTGGGATTTTATATCAGGCCCCTAGAGAAATAGGGACATAAAGGATTACGAATAAACCAAATAGCAAAGGAGAGCTAGGCTAATATGCACCTTTAGGGAACAGAAGGGAGCAAAGCTGTCTTGCTTATGACTTAATAAGGAATTTTTATCCAAGTGGGAGGATATTTCAGTATCTTCAGCTTTGACCAGGCTGTAGCTGTTGTAATTTGTAATCTGCATTCTCTCTGCCTGGCTAGGGGCCTGGGTTCCTCCTTGGCTGTCTCAGTCTCACTTTGACTCTTTCTGGTCCTACACATAACCAGAGTTTCTGACACATTTTCTGCCCAACCCTCTGGCCATGCCCATCCACCTCAGGCTCTGCCTCGGGGCAACCTCATCCTTTGCCACACTGAGCTTGCAGTAAGGTCTGCAGGCTCCCCATCCACTCTGCTGCCTTCCAAGGTTTCCTGGAGCTTCACAGAGAACTGCTCGGAGAAGCTCAACGTCAAGGCCTTCCTCTACTAACCACAGTGGGCCGCTGGGTTGCCAAGACGGGGCTATCGCTTCCCAGAGTCTTAACTAGGAAGGAAGGTAGAAATCTCTCTTCTTCTTGGCTTTCTTCTCCAGGTTTTTAGGTTTTATCCTGGAGCGTGGAAATCAGGACACACAATGAGCACTTCATCCTCCTGTTTCTATCCACCTTCTTTCCACAATTCTTTCAGCTGTAAGAGGTGAGCTTTTGTCTTATTTCCCTGACATGGCAGCCATCTTGAAACACGGAGCAGCAAGGCTCATGTCCTGGCTGTCATGGCAGAGAGGGTGGCTTTTTTATACTAAGAACTCTGTGGGTTAGTCCACGAGGCCTAACCTTGACATAGCAAGGGCTTCAAAGCTGAAAGCTACAGCAAACCCTCATTACCTCTCCTCATAAAGCCTGATTTCATTGTTTTAAAGAGGGCAAGTACATTATATCTATCGCCCTGAGGCTTAATAATAGCTCCTCAGAGGTGAGAGCATGCAGTAGAACATGATTCAGGGACATTAAAATGTACAGCTGTACCATTTGCAAACCACATTTTTAAAACACTCACAATCTAACCATGCCCCCAAGACCTCCTTCATGTTGGAGATTAGCACATCATTTAATTGGGACTGTATTTCTGCCCTGGAAGTTGATTTACGATTTACTCAAATGGAATGACTCATCTTTAGCAACAGGTGTCAGGCACCTCTGCCCTAATCTGTGTCCACAGTAAATGGAGACTTGATCCGTGGGTCTTTTGGTGAGAAGTCCATCATTTTCAGCATGAAGCAAGCGTTCTTTAATCCAGGAAGACCACTTGAGACGATGGGGAGTAGAGAAACAGTCAATCCGCAGCTGGAAAACATAAGCTGTGGTCCTTGGTTTGCCACTTTACGATAACTAAAGTGGCTCCCTTAATAACCTCTTTAGATTGTAGTTTCTTTATTCGATAAAATGCTCTCTTTAAGATCCATTCTCAATCTATGTATCTTGACTAAAAAGGCCGGGTCAGTAAGCTTCACTTATAACGTGATGAAATGCTGCCCCCTTGTGGTGTCTCAGGGTTCACCTAGGTTTATACAAAATTTCAAGTACATTTTTAACTTGAAATTGATGAAAACTCTTAATTTAAAAATTGATCTGGGGCCGGCTGAGTGGCGCGATGGTTAAGAACTGGCTTGAGATGCCAGAGGACCCGGTTCGGATCCCACATATGAGGGCCAGTGACACTGCCCTCTACAGCTAAGATGCTGAACAACAGCTCAACCTGGAGCTGGGCTGCCTGGAGTCTCTAGTGATGGGTAGCCTGCAGCCCCTGTGACAGTGGGTGGCCATGGGCTACCGTGTGTAGCCAGCAGCCAGCGTGAGCGGCCAGCAGCTGCTGTGAGCGGCCATCCAGAAGCGGGCGACTGATCTGCCTCACCCAGGAAGAGCATAATGATGGTGCCAACTTGGGCCAGTGAAGCAACGTCCTCCACAACTAGACTGAAGAACAAAAAACGACAGCAACTTGTCTGTTCCCCTTCCCCCAATTCCCCAGCACTGTTCCCATCCCCCCAATTTCCCAATAAAAATCTTTAAAAAAATTGATCTGTTATGCTCAGTTCCCATTATACCAAATACTCCTGATAACTTGTTATATAAACAAACAAAGTCCCCTTCTAAATGCCAACCCCCTTGTATTAAAATGGTCCTCCTTTCATTAGGAATGGCAAAGCCACTCAGATGAGCCATCCTGTTACATGGCCCATCTGTCCCTTGGGGACACCTTGTCCTTGGGGAGTCCTGGAAAACATGATTCAATCCAAATATAAATCCCAGTGCCTGCGAGCATTCACAGACTTTAAAATGATTTCCTTTTTTCAGTTCCCTCAGTGAGACTCAGTAGGGACCATATTTTTAAAGAACTATGTTAATAGAAGTACAACATACAGAAAAATGCACAAATCATAAGTGTGCAGCTCAATAAATTATCAAAAAAATGAACCAATTCTATAACCAACACCCAAATCAGGGAAAAGAACATTACCAGCACCCCAGGAGTCTCTCTAGGTCCCCTGACTAATCACAACTCCATTCTTTATCTCCAAATGTAACCATTCTCTTGATATCTAATGCCATGAATTGAAGGGAAGGGAAGCATTCTATATCTTGACCTGGGTTGTGTAGGGAGGTGTCATAGGAATATATTACATACATAAAAATACGTTGAGCTCGACACTGAAGATTTGTGCACTTTGTTGCATGCAAATTACACCTCAGTAATGTATCACAGCTCTTCTAGTTGTTATTAATGGTAGAGCTGGCCCAAAATAACCTTCCTTTTATGTCGACACCTTACATAACAATAGTATAATGATCAAAACCAAGAAATTAAAATTGGTGCCATGTTATTAACTAAAATGCATACTTTCTTCCAATTCCATCAGTTTTTCAGCTATTGTACTTTTTCTGTCCCAGGATCATATCCAAGATTCCACATTACATGTAGTTGTTATTTCTCCTTCATCTTCTTCAGCCTGTAACAGTTTTGATTAGAAGCCACATTTTCTTTTTAGACTCTTTTTCTTTTAGGCAGACAAATCTAATCACCCTTGGAATTTCACGATGTTTAACAACTTCTCTTAAATTTTCATTATTTCATTAGGTTTCCTCTCTAAGCTCCACTTTGTCCCAATACAATAACCCACTGTCACCAAGAAAAAGTGGCCTTGTCCCCTGGTCGCAGTTGTTGTCTCAAGGAGTAGCTGTGTCACGTCAGGCTGACGCCACTCACCTGAAATTCTAGTAAGTGACACTGTCTCTGTCTTGTGGGCTTAGAATTGAAGAGACATCTTTACTGTCATCTCATGGCTGACTTAATGGTGGACTGATGTACTGCTAGTCACACCACTGCTTACCTTTATAAATTTCTTGGACATGTGGCAGGTATGATGAGCTTAGACATCATTATCAGAGTCAGAAGCATCCAGTTGTGCATGGCCAGCTTAAATAGGGTGGTGGGAAGGACATACAGGTGTGTGTGTGAGAGAGAATGCTGACTGTAGAGCAGGGAGGATAAAAGAGGAAAGGCGGAGCTCGGACAGAAAAAGAGCATGTGTGAAACACCTACTATGTGTCAGGTTCTGTCTCATTAACCCTCACAGTATCTCCATCCAGGTAGCTATTTTACTCTCCATTTTAGTAATGAGTAACTGGAGAGAGATTAAATCATTTCTGTAAGGTCAGACAGCTAATGAGTGTCAGAATTTGGGATTAAAGACATGTGTGTTGATTCCCCATTATACGTATGTGCTTTTCCCCTTGTACCTCTGGGCTGCCATGAATATAATAATGATATGATATGATATGATATGATATGTGATATGATATGATACAACATAATATAGATTAGAATAAGTGAAAGAGAGAGATAGCTGATCTTCCTCTGAACACTTACTATGCGGTACCCAAGTTATATACATTATCTTACCTAGTTCTTATAACATCAAGAGGACATAACCACCAGTTAGACTTGCAAGCTGGACCCAGGCAGCCAGAGACTCATCCCCTCCCCTGTCCTTGGAATGGACGCTCTGCCCACTGTTCCCACGGTGGGAGCCATTTTCAAGGAGCCAGTTTCAAGGACACAGCCTTGAGAGAGTAATGTGTCATTGAGACCATCTGGGTGGTATATGTGAATAAACCCAGTTCATGCCCCTAAATACACACTTAAGATTCTGGCTGCCTAAGACAAGCCTCCTAAGTAAGTTCCCTTGCTTACTGAAACTGCCGCCCACCAATCTGGAGCGGTCTGCCCCTTTCTCGGGTCCCTCTTTGTTTTCTGTGTACAGGTTAGCCATTTGTTGTAAGACTGGGGTGATGCATCACAAAACAAGGCATGGAATCTGGCTTCCTCAACAGCTGCCAAGGGGTTGAAATCTAAAGCCAGGAAGGGCAGAGGAGTTAGTGTCTTGCAGGGTGAAATACAGCCAGTGGAGAAAAGAAAAGAGATGGGAGAGGAGCAAGGAAATCCTCCCACCATCCTCTTTTCCATGGACTCTTGGAAGATGTAGCTCCTCCTTGCAACCCTTCTAGAGAAGTCCCGTAGGCAAAGCAAATTGCTATGTCGCTGCGATGTGTAGTAAAACAAGGAGCAGCCCGCACAAAACACACCCTGTTGGGTGTTCTCCCATCTTTCCTTGCCTCACTTCCTCTTTTTTTTTGTTCTCATTGCCTTGGCTTCCACCTCTCCCTAACGTGTTAGGGTCTTAATGCTTGCTTCAGGCTCTGTTTCCTAGAGGACCTAGTCTAACATGAGGGAGTTGTTTAAAACAACCATCATAGCTCATGTTTCAAGATAAACTTACGTTGCACCTGGCACTGAATCAAGCACTTTCTCTGGATTATGTTATCTAAACCTCCCGATAATCCTAGGAGGTGGCATTTATTTTGCAGATGAGGAAACCATCACTCAGAGAGGTTAGATAACTTCCTTAAGACCACACGTTAAGTGGGATGCTTTATTTTAGGAACATGCTATTAATCTGACACACTTTGTATAGAATTCTTTTTTTTTTCTAGCTGAGCCATCCTGCCACCTGTTGGCAGTTCAGCAGCAGCTCAGCTCGGGCAGGGAATCGAACTGCTGTTGCTCAGAGTTCTTGAGCACTGTTGAGCGAGCTCTTAACCAACTGAGCCCCTCGGCGGGTCCTAGAATTCTTTAGAGACGTTGCTATTCCCTGGCTCCACAAATATTAATGACTTTGATATACAATGTCTGTAATATCCGCGCAGTAAGGATTCTACACACACAGTAAGGATTCTACACAAGCAATGAAAGACAAAATATTGAATCACAAAAGGATGAAAATATTTTATTTGAATAAGAAGCTTATTTGTAAAATGTGGACAAACAAAACAAACTCACCTTTTTGTATTGATGGTATAGTATTGGGAAGTATTGGACAAAAGATAATTTTGTGTGGAAAATAAACCCATGAACATTTAAGAGCTAATTTCAGAAAAAAAAATTGCTTGAAATAGCTTATGTTAATGAGGTGGGTAGGTTTTGATCTATTATTGGGTTGTGAAATATATTGAATGGGTTGACACCAGCATCAAAAAAAAAAAAAAAGAAAGAAAGAAGAAATAGGGTAGACCTATTTGCACACAATAAAAACGTGTAGTATTTGGTGAAGCTTTTCTTTGTATGTGAGTGTGTTAGAATGTATGTGTGTGTCTGAATCATGATGTCAAATTTTATTGTAGTGAAAAAAGTTTTAAAAACTGATATATTTGGCCACAGTATCGCATAGTTTCAAAAAGAAAACAAAACATGTTTTTGGAGTTAAAGACATCTAGGTTCGAATATTTGCCAAACTATAATTTTTGTAACAAACTAAGTCTAGCCTGCTGGCTCACTTGTGGCTCTTCAATGGGTGTGTCTCGTGGAAAGATTTAGAGTCTCCTGTATTCTCTTTTCATTAGGAAGCCCATGTCTCTTAATGCTTACAAAACGTCACTGACATGCATTTCTTGGAGGCCATGCTCCCAAGATGCTTTTATGCGTAATAGACTGGACCCCACAGACCTTTGTGCCTGGTTCTCACGTATCATCTATCAGACATCTCTCTCATTCTCTCCACACCTGGGCAAACCTTAAGATTGTTGAGGGGGCCAAGGCTAACACTTGACTCAGAGTCTGACATATCTTTGGTATAGAAAATGTTTATTCTCCGAATCCTTTCTTTCCAGATGGCTCATACCCAAGACCTGACTAAGCGCCCAAGCTTTAGGGAGATTCTTGGAAAGGAGAAGACTAGGTCATCTAGTCCTGGAGAAATGGAAAACAAACTCCGAAGGAATTTGAACTCCCTTTTGGCAGGTACCCTCCATTTTTCCAGGCGCGCTGCCCAGAGATTCACCCTACCTCTTGCAGGTGTCCACTTGGGGGTGATTCCATGGCTGGAGAAGGTCTGGCTTAATATCAGAACAGACAGTCTGAAGAGCAGGGAACTTGGATTCTTCACGTTTCCCTGACCCTCTCATTTGCAACTAGATTCCTCTTTCCTGGAATTTTAACTTCTACTCCTGGAACACATGACGTTTTCAAATGCTTTCCAACTCAGAAAAGCCCCACACACAGATTTTTAAAAATAAAAATATCCTCTGCGAACATTATAAAAAGCAAGGCATAATGATTATAGAGAACATTAGCAATAGAGAGAAACAAAAAGAAAAAAATGTATCTAGTAACTCACCTTTCCCCCTGCTGGAAAATCACAGTTTGCACCTTGCTATGTATTCTTCCAGACCTATATTATGCATTACAAGACACGATTAGTGATTTTGGCTATTATGATTATCCTTCTCATTTAAACTTCACCCAGCGCTATGATCATTTCTTAGGATAACTCCTACAAGCGTAATTACTGTATTTCCTATCTCAAACAGTACACACATTTTGAAGGGCCTCTCTTCCAAAACCAGTTTTCACACACATTTCGAGTTCCTCCTCTCCCCTGTCACCTTGATACAAACCCTGGATGTATGTCGGGACTCACTGCACTGATGGCTGTTCTCCTGTCGTCTAGCATACCCACTTTTGCTGAATTCTTTGATAAAAGACAATATCTGGTCATTCCCCTGAAGAGTGGCTGAATACGCCACTCCAGAATATGCCACTTTGGTATAAGAATATTTTGAGCTGAAGGTAATTGAGAAGAAGCAGATACAAGAATTGTCTGTCCTCCCCTTTTTTGCTGAAAAGCAGGACATGAATTTACAAGGGTGTCCCCCCTCCCCTCTCTTCCAGGAAGAACAGAAGTTAATCACCAGAGACAACCCTAGACTTTCATCAGCCTAGCGATGGCGGAGAGGAGCCTACTATAACAAGCCGTGTCGTAACTAGCCCTTACGGACCATTCATTCCCCATATACCGGAGGTGCCAAAAAAATGTATATGCATGACTTGTATTCATCTTTTGTTGTCGGTATATATTGAGAATTACAATTTTAATGAGTTTTCCTTTCTTAAAATGTGTATACATTTTTGTTTTTGGCACCCACTGTATTTGCCTTCCCAGAATTTGCTGCCTTAGGAACCCAAAGCCCTGTCCTTTGTCTTATCACTTCCCTAAAAATGTATTGTTCTTTTGTGAAGATGCTATGTAAGCCCAAGTTCTAACCACCCCTGTGTTACTCATCACTGGTACTCCTAGGTACCCAGTGCACGTGTTAATGAATGTCTGTTTGTTTTTCTCTTGTTAATCTGGTTTTTGTTAGTCTGATTTTTAGAGTCCCAGCTGGAGAAACAAGATGGATAGAGGAAAAGATTTTTTGCCTCCTCCAAATGCAAATATTTTTGTCCATCTACTATATGATTAAAATGAACTCAAAGGACAATGCTGTAAATCTTAGCTATAAATACTGTGAACTGAAGTTTTTGGGTACAAGTGCTTAGAAGTATAAGTATAACCAGGAAGCAGAGGAGTTAGCTTTTTATGGGATAAAACATGACCAATGGTGGAAGGAAGACAGGGGAGCTTGTCTTCTAAGTGGTCCAAGTGTCTTCTAAAGTGACATAGCCAGAAAAAACAAAGTTACAAGATAGGAGAGGTGATTGTTTTGTATATTCATACTTATCACACTTCACATTTGATATCCAATTCATTAAACTTTGAAGTGTTTAATGAAGCTCAAATTTGACTTCCTTAGTGGAGAGTTCTATATCAACCCGGGTGCAGAGTAGCAGAGCCATTAGGAGAAACACACAATTTTAAGAGCTAAACAGTCTCTGTAGCATGAGTGTCTGGATGGAGAGTGCACCATTTTGCACACCCATCAGCAATGTATCAAAGGACTAGTTATCCTACAGCTTTCCCAATGGAATATATCATTGTAATTAATTTTTGTCACTCTGATAAGTAAGAAATAGTGTTTTGATTTTTTTTTTTTTTTAGCTGAGCCATCCTGCTACCTATTGGCAGCTCAGTGGCTGCTCAGCTCGGGCTGGACTTGAACCGCTGTTGCTCAGAGCTCAAACTCTTGAGCGAGCTCTTAACCAACTGAGCCACTCGGCTGGCCCTGATTTTTTTTTTTAATTTGAGTTGAATTATGAGTGAGGTTGAAGATCTTTTTTAAGTGTAATGAACATTTTATATGCTTCTAAGAAAGCAGGCTATCTTCTGCTTCATATGTTTTGCCTATTTATCTATTATGTTTGGGTCCTTTTTTATTTGATGTTTAAGAGTTCGTTACATATTAATGATATTAGTTCTTTATCTGCAATACATGCTGCAAATATTTTCTTCCACCTTGTCATTTGTCTTTTGACTTGGCTTATAGAGTTTTGTGCAATGCAAAGCTTCTTCTAAAATAAAAAAAAAAATTTATCTAGTTGAATTCAAGAATCTTTTATTTTATCTGAAAATTTCAGACACATTTAGAAAGACTTTCCTTACAAGTTTCAAAGGAATGTGTTTTCTTCTAGTACTTTCCTGGCTTCATTTTTAGAATTAACTGTCTTATCTATTTTTTTTTCTTATGCATAATGTGAGTTAAGGATACAATTTCATCCCTTTCTAAATTGCCTTCCAGTTGTCCAAACACAATTTGGGTTCTAATGATTGGAGATACCAACTTCATCATACATTCCATTTTCATATATATTTGCACTTTCTAGCCTGTTCCCCTGATCTGTGTGTCTATTCATGAACGAGTACAACACTCTTGCACTAATAATGGTTCTCTGATATATTCGACTATCTGACAGAGGTTTCTGCCTCCCCCAACCCTTTAACAGCTCTTGTTCAGGGTTCCCCTGGCTAATCTTACATGTTTATTTCTTCATGTGACTGTTAATATGAACTTATCTCATTTTAAGATAAAACTTTTTGGTGTTTTTATGGAGGCTTTATGAAATGTTTATTACATTAACATAAAAAACTGACATCTTTATGCTGTTGAGTCATTTTTCTTCAAAAACAAGGGATGTCTGCCCATAAGTCTTTTGGGCATGTTTGTACATTTTTGTAACATAGATTTTGCAAATTTTGTGTTAAGTTTATTTCTAAGCATTTTATCTTTTTTATTGCTATTGTAAATGGGACTCACTCTTCCATTATTTTTGTATATATGAAGGATATTGATTTCTGTTCATTTTATATCTTGCTTTGTGATTTTGAAAATTGTGTGTGTTTTAGAAGTGATTCTTTAGATCCATTGAGTTTTTGATTTGTTAAGTATTGGGTTTTTCTTTTCTAAAGCTCCCCTTTTCTTCCAAAACTGCTTAGCCATTTTTATAATCTTTTGTTCTTATTCATTTTCTCAGTTTCATTTTATATTTAAAAAAATATTTAAAACATACTTTATTGTATGCTTATTAATTTCACTATCTAAAGTCTTTGTAGATCCAGTTGTGTTGTCCATTTGTTTTATTTCTGCTGGCGGTTGCTCATGGGCTCTTATTTTCTTATGTGTTTTGTGATTTTTTTTTTATACCATGTATGCATGTTCCTTAGAACTCCGTGGAATTATTTGAGGCCCATGTTTAATGTAAGTTCCTCCAGAGAGGAGTGATTTTGCTTCTGCTAGACATTTAGGGACAATATCAACACGTGACCAATTCAAAAGAATTCTTAGCCTTGAGGCTTTTTATTTTTTTAATTTTCTTTATTCATTTTTTTAACATTCTTTTTTTTTTAAACTGGGGAACAGTGTGTTTTTCCCAGGATCCATCAGCTCTAAGTCAAGTTGTTGTCCTTCAGCCTTAGTTGTGGAGGGTGCAGCTCAGCTCCAAGTCCAGTCGCCGTTTTCAATCCAGTTAAGCGGGGGTGCAGCCCACCATCCCATGTGGGAGTCGAACCGGCAATCTTGTTAAGAGCTCGCACTCTAACCAACTGAGCCACCCAGCCGCCCAGGCTTGAGACTTTTTAATTCACATGGATAGAAGAAATTCAGGCCACGAACCCTAGATGAAGACTATTGTTCCTCAGCAGTCTCTCTCCCCACCCATTTACCCAGTTCCAACATTAAAAAAAAAAAAACTACTGTTTGCTTCTGAGAGTGAGTTTATTTCCAGATCTCCCTTTCATTGATGGTGTAGCCACTTAGGTTCCCAGCTATATCTAGGGGTCTCCTAGAATTCCCCCTTGGGGGGGTCCTGTCCTTGAGCCGGAGAGGCTGTCAAAATAGAAGATCAGACTTTAGAGGTTGGCAGTGCCCCAGCACAAAAGCATGCTGATGGCTTGCTCACCTCTGTACTCCTGCTTTTTATTAATTTTTGGCTTCTAAGGAATATAGTTTTCTTACTTTCTTACTAGCTTAGCAGTGTATTTTTAAAATATGTTTTATTTTTCAATTACAGTTGACATACCATATTATATTAGTTTCAGGTGTATAACACAGTGATTAGACATTTATATATTAATAACTTATGAAGTAATCACCCTGACAAATCCAGTGCCCATCGTACACTATACATAGTTATTACAATACTACGGACTATATGCCCCATGCTGCATTCTAATTGCCATGACTATTTTGTAACTACCAATTTGTATCTCTTAATCCCCTCCCCCCACCTACCCTTCAACAGCCCCCCAATCTGGCAACTATCAAAGTGCTGTCTGTGTCTATGAGCTGTTTCTGTTTTGTTTATTCTGTTCTCTAAATTCCTCATATAAGTGAAATCATATGACATTTGCCTTTCTCTGTCTGACTTACTCCATTCAACACAATACCCTCTAGGTCTATACATGTTGTTGCAGATGGCAAGAGTTCATTCTTTTTTATGGCTGAGTATATATTCCATTGTATATATGTATCATGTCTTCTTTATCCATTCATCCATTGATGGACAGCCAGGTTGCCTCCATATCTTGGCTATTGTAAATAATGCTGCAATGAACATATGGATGCACATATCCCTTCAAAGTAGTGTTTTGGGTTTTGTTGGGTAAATCCCAGAAATGGGATTACTGGGTTCTTCTTTGTCTCTTGTTACAGCCTTTGTTTTAAAGTCTATTTTGTCTAGTATAAGTATTTCTACCCCACCTTTTTGTTTGTTTCTTTATTTCCATTTTCATGAAATATCTTTTCCCATCCATTTATGAGTACTTCCAGTCTGTGTATATCTTGTAATCTGAAGTGAGTCTCTTATAGGTAGCATATGTAAGGGTCTTGTTTTCTTACCCATTCTGCCACCATATGTCTTTTGATTGGAGCATTTAATCCATTTACATTTTAAGTAATTATATATATATATATATATATATATATATATATATGGTCATTGCATTTTATTATTTGTATTTTTTATTTCTTTTTCTTCTTAAAGAAGTCCCTTTAACATTTCTTATAATAATGGTCTGATGGTGATGAACTCCTTTAGTTTATTCTTGTCTGGGAAGCTCTTTATCAGTCCTTTGTTTCTAAATGATAGCTTTGCTGGGTAGAGTAATGCTGGTTGTAGGTCCTTGCTTTTCATCACTTTCAATCTTTTGTGCCAACCCTTTCTGGCCTGCAAAGTTTCGGTTGAGAAATCAGCTGGTGTCTTATGAGAGTTCACTTGTAGGTAACTAACTGCTTTCCTCTTGCTGCTTTTAAGATTCTTGGTCTTTAACCTTGGGCATTTTAATTATGATGTATCTTGATGTGGACCTCTTCGGGTTCATCTTATTTGGAACTCTCTGTGCTTGCTGGGTTTGTATGCCTATTTCCTTTGCCAGGATAGGGAAGTTTTCTATCATTATTTCTTCAAATAGGTTTTCAATTAATTCCTCTCTTTCTGGTACCCCTATGATGTGAATGTTGGTAATGCTTGATGTTATCCCAGAGGCCCCTTAAACTATCCTCATTATTTTTGGATTTTTTTTCTTTTTGCTCTCCTGACTGGGTGTTTTCTGCTACCTTATCTTCCAAATCACTGATTCAACACTCTGCTTCATCTAATCTACTATTGATTCCTTCTTCTGTATTCTTTATTTTAGTTATTGTATTCTTCATTTCTGGCTG